CTGGCTCCCCTGTAGTTTGCACCCTGGTATTATTTGACACAGAGAAATTGTTTGATTCACCACTTGCAACTGGACATTCAAAGCACAGTTGTGCTGTTGAGATGTGGGCCATTGTTCTATTGCATGACGACCCCTGCTGTTAGTCTGCAGTGTCTGTGTGTGTGTTGATTGGTAGTTAGGTGTGGGGGTGGTTTGTAATCAGTGCCTTCTGGTGGAACCTAGGCCCGGTAGCACCCCTTTGATGATGTGACTGGTTTAGTTTCTCCTTGGTTCTCCTTGCTTAATTTATGCATTTTACAACATTAAAGTACCATGTTTACCCTCCATGCTTCACTGATGGGATATTTTGTTATGCTTACGTTTTAGTTACTTTCTGTTAAAAAAAAATACTAGGTGTAATCTCTCCCACATTTGTCCTAACATAAGAGCCAGGTTGTGACAGTTGTAATGGGTATATATTCAGCATAAACAAGACTTATATGAGTATTAGGGTCACTGTTATGAAAATGCAAATATAATATTGCAAGTATATGTGATAATAACCATAGTTCACATGTTATTTTTATTAATATCAGGTGAAATAACCATGACTTAAAGTCACATGTTTACATCATGACTGTTGTTTTCAAGCTAAAAAGAAGGTTTGAATTCATGTTTACAGTGAACACTTAATGTTTATTTCGAAAAGTATTTAAATATGTTTAATAGGCTCGTATATTTTTTCAAATCTTAATTTTGGGTCAGAAGACTTCAAGTCAAAAGAACTTGTGTAAGTTAAAAATGTCTGAAAATTAAATCCAGCTACTTTTTTTTAAAGAAGTCATGTAGCCCTTTGCCTTGTGTGAAAGAGGTGTGGAATTCTCTTTAACAATGCAACAAATATAAATCATGTGTAAGGGGACATGGCAACGACATGATTTCATCTTTAGTCCCATTCTTATCCTTCCCAGAGAAATATTTAATTTCTGTATCTGCCTCAAGGAAATACAACCATATGGCAGCATAAATAATGTAAGGTATTTAGTGCAGTAGTAAAGAGATTTATGGCCCTTCTCAGACTCAGCGTGCAGAGTGATAACTGCAAAAATGATACATTTTTATATTTGAGACAGAGCTTTGAACAACATAATTCATGTACCGAAGTCATGGTTTCTTCTCATGTGCTGAAAGTAATGGCAAATATGTGTATTTTACAGATAAAGCAAAGAAAATGTAATGCTTTTAGGAAGCTGACTGAAAACACATATGTGCTTGATTTAAGGGTGAAGTGTTTACAGGCTATAGGAGATTGTCCTTGTGGTTGTGATAAGTGTGATGATGGTATATGACTGCCACCATGTGGAGAAATCTCTTCACAGCTACTTGGAGTGACTTAAGCTTCTTACATTAACAAGAAAATGTGATATTGATATCCTTAATGATTTTAATATGAACATCTGGTCATATATTCAGTGTATTCAATATTTTACCTCATTCATTACATGGATAATAAATTAAGATATATCCTATTTATGGTATATAGCATTAGTTTATGCTCCAGAAATCCTGCCCATGTGGCAATGAAGTCATTCCGCTGCTGCTCATTTTCGCATATCCTGTAAGCAACTGAAGGAGACCCACTGAAGCGTGACAGGAATTGATTTTCCTGCATGCATATTTGCATTTGAACAGAACACTTGTGCATGAAAGCCAGAGAGGGCGTTCAGCACAGAAAGTTCCTGTGAGTCACCATTGCAATACATCCCCCACTTAGCCTTCATCCATTCAACACACTGCATGCAGGGAACAGTGTAACAATGTCTTCTTCATGCTGTAATTTAAATACTGGCTTTTACATGCCTCTGAATGTTATATATGTCAGAGGGTAAATCTTGATTAAGTATAACTGTCCAACTGTCAATAACACTCTTCATTAGTTTTGTGCAAAGTCAAGATTTGCAGTTTGCAAAGAGCACATTGCATTTGGACTTCTATCTGACAGGTGCATAAATGACATTTGTGGAAAGTCACACACAGATAGGCTGCAGCATTGTATGTTGCCAAAAGCTCTAAAGCAGTTGCTCAGCAGGTGTATTCCCCTCTTAATATAGCACCTGTCCAGGGGACTACAGATGAAAAATAGCCTTACTTCTTTACAGCAGTGTTTATTAATGTGCTCTGCTACTGTTAAATAAACCAATAAATAAATAAATAAATAAATAAGAAGATGGGGTACTTGAATTAGAAAATTGAATTGACAATGAATCATCTAATGCAGAAATTCAGAGGATGATATTTATTCTTACATACATTAAAATTTTCAAATGATGTTTTAAAGAAATTAGGATACAATAGGCTTAATTACAAATGGGTTTTAAATGAATGGCTGTAGCACTCTATGTAGCCTACGTTAAAGCATCTTATTGGCAGTCGAACATCCAAAAGCCCTAAACACCGTGCTTTATGGTGGGAAAAGATGACCCGAAAACCAGTAAAGCAAGTGGTCGGAAACGCTGCGTGTCATAAGCGGAGCGGTCCTCGCTATCACGCACGACGTTAGGAGTTCCCTCGCTTACACCGTGAAAACGCCCCTCTACTCTCCTCCTAGCCCTTCCCCGACCATAAGCCATCCCTGCCGGCTTGTGCCTGTCTGCTGTCCCAGCCTGCAGGGCTACATCTCCCGCGGCAGAGGAAAGGCGCATCTGGGGCGGTGGCGGCGTCCGTCTTCCAGTTTCCTGCAATCTCAATGATCAGGATCCGGAGCGAAGCTTGACACCCGGACCTGACAGGACAGGTATGCGTTTTTATTTGTTTGTCTGACACGGCGCTGATGACAGCGGAACAGGTGCATGCTGCATTCGCCGGTTGAAATGACATTGTAGGGATGGAGCGGGAAGCATCTTCATACCGGTAACAGGCTTTTGCACAAAACCGCGCACTGCATGCTCTGCAAAGACACCGCTTTGTGCTTCAAGTGTCATGGACGGATGGAGAGGGTGTTGCCACAGAGCTTTAATCCGACCAATATGGTCGGCAGGCTGTTTTAATGAGCTGCACAGAATCAGGGCATCCTTTCTTTCAGGCATATCAAGGCCCGGTAGGCAGAGAGAGTCAGCAGGTGCACCCTTTTCTTATCGTCTTACTGAATAACATAGCGCCTGATCTGTACGCATCCAGCCCACCTACAATTGCTCACATCTATTCTTGGACATGCCAGTGTGCATAAGGATTGTGATTTCCCTATGTGGAGCTATAGGCTGACAGCTGATGCTCAAGATAATGAGCTAATTGGAGACGGAGTGTATTGTCGCGGGTGTGGCAGAGGGGGCAGGCGTGGGCGACTCATACAATCGGAAGGTCTCCTCAAATGTGTGAATTGCACTGTGAGAAAGTGGGCTATTAAACTGGAAATGCCCTGACACTGGGGTAGTATTTAAAAACCCTTTACATTTATTTAAGTAGATAAAGAAAAAGAGCAAACTGGCCTCCAACTGATTTGGAGGCCAACTGAACCAACGTGTTTTTCTTGGAATATATTGTCATTTAAATTTTTTTTTGTTATTTTCTCTGCAATGGGTTTGACATTTCCTCAATTTTAAAAGCCACAATCACAAAATAATGAACCACTTTAGGATGTATTTCTCGTATGAATTCTGTTCTCAAAATGCAGGATAGTCATCTGTCCTACATACTGTAGAGTGTATTCTTAACATTACAGACAAATTGAATTAAAATTAGATATTGTGTTGTGCAAACTATAAACAAAAATGTAATTTCTGATTAGACTTCTGCAGCAATCTCCAAGAAACACAAAACTATAACTTCTTAATTTCAAAAATCCATCCATCTGTCCATCCGTGCCTCTGTCCCTCCATGCATCCTCCAGTCTCATTTTCCTTTCTTTCACTTGCTCCATTTTCGGTCTCCCTGGTGAAACTATAAGCAGTGTGGAGCTCTTCTGTCACACCCCTTTTGCTGGTTCACATTAAAGGGTGAAGCCTCTTTGTGTGGATGTATGTGTTATACCTGTTTTCTAGGCTGTTGTCAAGGTGGTTCAAGGAGTTTCACTGCAGGTTATACAGTAATGGCATTGCATGCTACATTTCCCACAGATTAATTTGCTCTTATCTATGACAGGTAACAGACAATCAAGCAAACTCTTCACTTAAAACAGGGAGGGACTAGCAAGGTTATATGGCAGATTTACTCATGGCGTTCACAGACGATGACTCCCATTTGTTTTCCAGGCAATGTATAACCTCTGTGCAATCTGTCACCAATGCACACGTCATAAGGGTAAAGGTTAGGTCATGTGTTGTACAGCTGCAACACTGTGTGTGTTTCTATGCACGTAAATTCAGCGTGCATGCTTGTTTAAGGTAGCACACTTACAATTCTCCTCCGAGTCCTATTTCAAGTCATCCTGTGATCGATTTGTAATAGCTCATTGAAGCGGGGCCAGTGGTCTGTTCACAGCCAAATTGGAATTCTCCACAAGATAAACTCACGTCGCTTAGAAGTGAGAGGAGCTTTCAAAGGCATATTAAAGATAACAGCACGTAATAAACTGTCACTTTCTGCATTATCATCACAAATGATGTGTTGTAGGTTACAATGCTGAACTCAGCAAGGCGTCCCATTTTCTGGCGATCTCCTCTCTAACATCATATTAAAGTTATGACTGATAACACAGTTTGAGAAAGGTATATTCTATTGCCTTCATCAAACCACAAATCAAATGCAATTGTAAGGTGAGACTGACAGTTTTCAAATAAATGATTGCAGATCTGGAGAAAACGAGTGTGATTTCTGATAGCTGAAACCTAGAACTTGAGAACATACAAATGTATTAAATTTGCCTTAGATTGAAAACAAAACTGAAGGCTTTGAATGACTACATGAAATGAATAAAGTATTTGAGGCTCAAGGATGTGTAGGACCTTCCCCCATAGACTCCCATTGAAAAAAATGTTTCAAAGAAAATACATTGGAATATGGAAAATTTCACTACTTAGTAATTACTTGGCGTCATCCGTGCTCAATACTTTATGTGTGTGTGATTTTCATAATATCAGTAAAGACTCTTATGAGGACTTGACATAATTTCATAATTTTACATTACATATCCTGAACTGAGACTACATTGTGATAATTAACAGTGTAGTTAAGGTCATAAGAATGATCTCTCTCATAAAAGACCATTTTTACTTTGACAGTGATATCATATATCACGTATTGCACATTTTATTTGAATAGTCTGGCCAGATTTGTGAGCAACAAATGATCCTCCCAAAAGGGTGTACGACTAACATGCTTATGATATGACACAGATACCACAGATCTACATCTTGTTTCACTGACCTTATGTGTTCATGGCAAACCATTTTAATGTCGACTAGAAGCTGACATCCTACTCTACTTGAAAGTGTTGGTTGCCCTCATCCACCCACCATCACTGTCTCCAACATGTCACTTCAGCGTACCAACCTCTACATGAACTGTCACGTTCCTCAGTACAGTGTCATGTGATTGTTCACCTCTTCTCACTTACGAGTGTATATGTGTCAACTAGCAAAATAATGCCTTCAGGCTTTTTTTTCTTTTTCTTTATTTTATTTTGACATGCTTGACAGACGATGTTAGGCTAGGGTTCCCATGGTAACTGTATTTTAATCAGGCATGCCTGATGTCTGTGTGTTAACTATCGTTAGTGGCGAGACTCTCCACTTTGGTCAAATACAGAAAAATGAAACTGCGCTGCAGGCACAGTGTGTGTCTGTCGTTTTCCTGTCATTGTGGTGATGAGTGAAAATATGTGTTGTTTTTTTCTATTTGACTCTGCAAGTAAAGCCTTAATGCATAGGGGAAAGTGAGGAATAGTGAGCATGCAGAAGGTGCTTTTACTGTAGGAATTACAGAAGGATGGTTGTCTTCAGTTCAATTGACTGTTGTGATAAAGTGGAGCTCATATGGTTGATTATTTTTCTAGGTAAATCATTATCACATAAATTCAAAAACAATTACCAAAAATGCATCTTAATGTATGTAATGCATTGTATTTCTAACTTCCAATAGGAACCTGAACAATGTACATTAACTGGAAGCACTTCCTATACTTTGTTTTTACTTACTGTGTCCATGATGAAGTCATGATGATTACCAGGCTGCTTAAATACACAGAAAGTGGACACATACAGCAATATGATGTTATGCAATCAGTAAAATAGCACTGCAAGAAATGTTCATAATGTTCAGTTTCTGTCGAGTCTGCGTTAAGGAGGTGCTGATTCAGTCAGTTTTAAAGGTGTAGTTTGAGAAGTATTAAATTGCTTTATTTTACACACGCCATAGACAGTTGTATAAAAAGTGATATGTATGTAGAGTCTGCAGTCTGCCTTGCTCTGTCCCATTGTATATGTGAACTGCTGTGGCATGTTTGTCAGTCTGAACTGTGTTTGGCAGTGAGTGTATCAACAGTATGTCCAGATTTCTCACAATCAGTGTTACCCACTGAAGTGTCAGTGTACAGTGATGGTTTTTGTTTTTGATAGAAAATTCTGAACAGGCTAAGCAGTCTGAATACTCCAATCATGTCACATGAATTCAAATTGCTTTTGACCTTTAATGCAATATTCCCAAGCTTTGTTACATATATTGATGTGACCCCCTGCACTAAATGGATGTAAGTTTACTTTGTGTTGTAAAATGGAAGAGGTTGGCTCTTCCACTTGTGTAAACTGATTAAACCATGATGTGCATCTCATAAATCAAACGATGCATTTTGACAGCTCATTTTGAGAGACTTCACTGCCTGATTTGTTTTAATCAGTGAGGATTAACTTCACAATGACCCCCCCAACCCCGCTCTAATAATTTTTATATGCACATTTGCCACCTTCTTTGACTTGAAGTGATAATGAAGCAGACACAGATAAGTTTGCAATCACACAATCTGTCTTTTCATCAGCTCAACAAGGGGAACTGAGTACTTCAGATGTTGAAGTGTAGAAACTTTACCAGCCCCTGTTATTTTGCCTGCTGTAGTGCAGACCCTTCCCATGGACTTCCCATGAGTCCTTGTACTGTTGACGCAGGTAGCACCGCTCCCTCTGGACTTGCTTTCTCTTGGGGAGGATGAACTTGCAGCCTCATTGGTTCGTAAGTCGCATCATTTATCTCTGTTGTGGTGTGACATGATTTGCAGCGGACTTTACAGTTGTGCTATGCAATCTGCTCCCAAGACTGCTGAGTGCCAAAGGTTTTAGAGAATGTGTATATGTGGTTTCCCCTGAACAAGGACATCTCGCCACTCCCACTTCCCCAACCCCCACTGTCTTGTACCTGGTTTTTCAGAGCAAGCCTCTGCCGAGCAAGGATTGATGGACTGGCTGTGTGTGCCATTAGTAGAAAAGCACTGATTATAAGGCTGAGATGTGGCGGAAGCTGCATGATAAAATTACAAGACTCATTGAGGAATGTTCTGTGACATATTATACATTGGGTGGCTTCTGTAGATAGCAGTGTAGATACCGCCATTTAGCATGACTTACACAGTACATGTAATGCTTTTTACAATGTGTGTACTTTGCATTTTAGCAACCGCACCTCCTTTAGACATGTCTGCATACACATTTATAATATAAAATTCATTGCTTTTCCTGCTAGTAGCTGTGGTAACCATTTGGTACAGTGTTCATTGAATTGTGCATGAAGAGTGTTGGATTCAAAATGCTAGTAATCAATATGAACAATACAGAAATGTAGTGTGTGGCATGTCCTTTGTGCTAGATGCTA